GGTACCATTGCTACTCCGCGCCTTGCCCTATGACCTACGTCGGGAAGCAATGGATGCGGGTGTCTCACTTTCCTCAGATACGAAGACTGCTGTGAGGTTCTTGTCAAATTGACATCCCTCCAGAAGGAAGAGTTTTTGGCTTCAGACTTTTTCCATCGGCTACAAAAACCGGGAGAAAGTGATGGAGACTTTGCGGGGAATCTCCAGGCATTAGCCAAACAAGCATTCAAGGATTGCTATCCCCTTCGGGTTGCCTCATGGATAGCGGCCCAGTTCAAAAAGGGTGTGTGTCCACCTGCTTTGGCAGAACAACTGGTGCAGATGAAGACTAGCAGAGTGAGCCGCCTCATCGATGCGGCACTAGCTAAGCGCCGGGAGTTACAACTCAACCGAGTTCAAGGCCCGCATTCACCCGTGGACTCCCAACAAACGCCCTATTGGCGAACAACGGCGTGCGCTCCGAAGCGACCCCTTATCGCAGAGTACGGTACAATTTTCTTTGTCTTTTCTAACTCCCTTACGATGTTCTACCTTTATGCGTGTAGGGGGCAAGCTAGAAGGTCCCACATGCTTATTTCTTTTGGACTCGGGAGCAGTCCGTTCCATACTAAATCCACAGGCTTTCTCCATGGTATGCAGAAAGGCCAAAATTACCCCACCGGCTACTAGACTAAGCTCTGCAGAAGGAAAAGAAATTTCGGTAATAGGAGAAGTACCAATCAGAGTTTCATTGAGGAATGACAGCTGGGAGGTAAATTTCGTGCTGTGCCTTAGAGCTAGCCTGGGACGTACTGTTAGGAGCTGACTTTTTACGCGCTGCATTATCTATCTGGACGATATTCTCGTTTTCGGGAAAGACACAAAACAACATAACTCCAATCTTCGATTAGTACTGGATCGCCTTCGGGAAGCGGATCTGACGCTGAATCCGAAGAAATGCAGTTTTCTCCAAAAGTCGGTCACGTTTCTGGTGCACACAATCTCTGCAGACGGGATGGCGGTCACAAAAGGCAGAACAAGATAAGTAAGTACTTGGTCGAAACCTACAAATCAAACGAAACTTCGCAGTTTCCCTGGTTTGGCAAACTATTACCGGCGTTTTGCAAAAGGGTTCGCCAAGATCGCAAGTCCCTTATACAAGTTGACAGAGAAACAGGCGAAAAGAAGTTTCTTTGGGAAAACGAACACACAGAAGCCTTTACGGAGTTGAAGCGTGCTCTCTGCGCGGCACCGATCTTGACTTTACGAAGTTTTAATGCCGAGGCTCCTCCTTTCGTGCTGGATACGGACTCAAGCGATGAGGCGGTGGGCGGAGTCCTGTCCCAGAAGGACAAGGACGGGAGAGGACATGTGATCGCGTATCCCAGCTCACATCTCAGCAAAAAGATGAAACAGAAGAGTGCAACGGAACGGGAACTTTTCGCTATTTTTACAATGGTCAGACATTTTAAGCACTACTTGATAGGAAAACAGTTCGTTGTGAGGACAGACCATCAAGCACTGACATGGTTGAAGACGATGAGGCAGATAGATCACTCGGTTGCAACGTGGTACGAGGAGCTCCAACAATATGATTTTATAGTGCAATATAGGAAAGGAAGTTCTCAGGGCAATGCGGACGCGCTGTCACGGAGACCCTTATCATCGTCCACGGATGGCGACACAGTAGGTGCGCTGTTACTTAGCGAGCCTACTTCTCATTACTGGAGAACCACGCAGAGCTCCGAACCCGATACAGCTTTAGCCTATGAAAAACTAAGGACGTCCTCAGCCAAGCCTACAGTCGAGGAAATGAAGTTGGCGAGCAAGAAAGCCAAGCAAATATGGCAGAGCTGGAATAAACTCTCCCTAGAGGACGACGTCATTTGGTACAAAGACGATGAAGAGGCAAGTTCTAAGCGCCTCGTAGTACCCGGTTCCTTGGTGCAGCCATCACTGTTGGAATTACATGAGTAACTGGGCCATGTGGGGGACAGGAAGATGCTCGACTCCACAAGGAAGAGGTATTGGTGGCCTTCGATGACATCGGACGTCCCTGATTTTTGCCGCTCATGCGTTACGTGTACCAACCTGAAGAACTAGACTCGCACGGCGATAGCTCCCCTGCAGTCGATGGCCACGGGCTTTCCTGGAGAGCGAGTAG